AACCTGGGTGGAAGCAGCACCCTGTGCTCTGCTTGCAGGGTCTGTGGCTGGAAGGCCGTGCCCCAGGTTTGGGGCAACGACACTTGGGGAGCCAGTGCCGGACTCTCCCGTGCCACTCTGCCTGCCCTGGGCTAGTGCGGAAAAGGGCTCTGCTGTCAGGACTGGCCATCGAAGGCTTCTGAGCAGGGGACACCCTGCCCTGGGACCACAGAAGGCTTCTCCTCGCGGTGGTCACCCAAACCCACAGCCTTTCCCTCGCGTGTCGCACAGGTCCCGGCCGTTGCCTACTCACGGGCTCCATGTTTTGGGAGTCAGGCTGGGCCGCAGGCTTCTCGCTGGCCTCGGCCTCGCGGCTGGTTGCGCCCGGCCCGGGCGGTGGGGCCGCCTGCCTCCAGCTGCTGCTGCGCGGCCTCCTCCTGCGTGTTCTTCACATCGGAATCGGGGCCCGTCTCGGTCGTCATGACCGCTGCCTAGTGCGCCCGCCCTGGCACGAGAGACAGACAGAGGAAATGAACAACAGGTCCGGCCTTCCCCCAGGCTCCAAGGTGGGGACCACGGTGCCCCCAAAGAGGAGAACTATCCGGTTAAGCACAGGGGCAGCAGGACCCGTCCTGCTCCCAGGAGGACACACAGGAGCAGTGGAGCAGGGACTCTTGAGGCTCTAATGACCTGAAGGAGCCTGGAACAGGAAGGAGGGACCAAAGTGTCACTGAACAAACACAGCTACGGAGGGGAGCTGGGCACAGCAAGGCGAGCAGAGGGCTGCGCTCGCTCCCGCTGTTCCACTCGCCTTCCCACAGCCCCAGCACTGCGGGCCAGCAGGGAAGGCTTGGCCATGCCCAGCCCATTCCCCATCACTGGCATCTTTGGTACAAGTTTTTATATCCTTTTTTTTAATCCAGTTATATCCATTTTTTACAAATGGATTTTTTTCCCGAGGAAAAAAAAAGCAGGTAAGAGGGCTGCATTATCATAGGAATTTGCAGACATTGACAACTCTCTATACTGCATCCGGGATGGTTGTTTTTTCCCCCGCTGGAAATTCCCCCTGGAGTAAGCAAGCTGGGTTCCCACGGCCTCACCGCCCAGGCCCTGCAAAGTCCTGCCTCGGCCTCCAGGGCCTCTGCTCGGGCGGCCTCAGCGCCTCCCCTGCAACAAGATGCCCAAACAAAGCTCCCAGCCGGGAGCAGGGAAGGGAGACACAGTCCACAGCTCCCTGTCCCTGGCTTGGGGTGCTCAGTAAAAATAAAAAAAAAACAAATTTTGCAAACCTTATGCTTGTCCTCTATGCACATTCTGCTCGCCTTTGGCATGAGAGGTCTCGGTGCAGGGCTCCTGGCTGCATTAACAGTGCCCAAGGGGCGCCCGCAGCGAGCGTGACGCCAGCGGCTCCGCGTGTGGCCCAGAAGCAGTGCTGGGCCTGGCAG